TCAAGTTGAGGAGCTATACACACTGGACACTTCCATCGTGCGACCGTTAGAGTAGGAGCGAGCAACGACCAGTCGATTGGCCAATGTTCGATTTTTCTACTGATTTTCTCTGTTTTAGACCGGTACACGGTCTGATATTCCTGTTCAAGTGGCGCCCTAATGAAGAAGAGCCGAACCAGTTCGAAGAAAATGAAAACGACGTGCCAAATGACTTGTACTTCGCAAAGCAGGTGCAGTTTCTTGGTCTTGTTGTGTTCGTTCGCTTGTTTGTTCGAAGTCGAATTGCATTGGCTCTGACAGACGAATGGGTCGCAGCTAAAGTCCGAGGCAGACTTTTAACGTAAGGTCCATTAAATTCGTACAAAATTTCCTTTCACACATCGAGCTGATTGTTTAAACTGGGAAAATTTATTGAAAACAGCATAAAACTACGACTGTGCACTAGAGAATTAATGAAGCGGCTGCAGCATATCCTCCAAGAAGTCAGGGCCTTGTGGTTCCAAAAGTAAGAACAACTGTGAACGACAGGGTGAACCCCCGAAACCGAGTCAACTTTCTACCTTGAAGAACGTCCTGAGATAGAGGCCGAAACGTCGAAACGAAACGTTACTTGTTTGTTAGTCATCTGATTAGCCATATTCTTTTTGTTTTGTGTAAGCCGTGTCTTATGTGGTTTCTGTGTGATCACCAACGCAATATTTGCTGCTTCAGCCGGATCACAAGCCATTTTTCAGTATACACGAAAGACGTTAGAAAAATGGAATTCAGAGTTAATTACAGGGGAAGAAAATGAGAACTGTTTGCATCATCATCGTAGTTAATGATCGTACACGCACCAACTGGCAGAACTCTTTGACACTGCGCATATTCAGCTGTTTTCCAATCAAGTTGTAGTCGCGAAGGGTGCACCCTAAGGTTTGAGCAATGCATTTTCGGTAGAGCTCTTTCCTTTCATTACTACTGGCATGTTGGAATCGTACATGAACATTCTGTGTGACAGGCAGTGTACTAGACTATTGTGCAACGGAGGTGTTGCTAAAAATGTCGTTTCCTATGTGATTACCATGTGGCACTGCTGATTCGATCACACGCAATGCCAGATCTGTTAAAGAAACACTTCTAAGTCTTGAAACATGTTCAGTTGATTTTTAGTCAGCTGTTTACGGCGTTAAGGCGGATTGCAGCTGGAAGGGACACGCATCAAACATCTAGTCATGTCTTACACGCCTTGGTGTGACCACGCCAAAACAATATGCATTTGCTATTATGCGTAGGTATCCTTTTTTCGGCTGGATGCATTGAAGCACTGTGGAGTGTATTGCTTGCTCAGTGGAATTGGCAGTTGATGAGAGAAAATTTTCACCGCACCGTGCGTGAGGTTGGAGCCCTTAATCCCTAAAGCGGAAAGCATGCTGATAACCTATTGTTGCTCCACTGCCCTTTACTCCCCCGATTGTTTGCGTTGCGGTTCGCTACAGTGTAATCACTGGTTTGGAGTGCATGCGTGCAGCGGCAAGCGTAAACATCGCTCTATACTGTTGAACGTCGTATGTTGCTGTGTGAAACACTAAAAAATGGCATGAGCAGTGAGGGCGGGAATTTAAAACTCATTGTTATTAATGATTGTAGTCATCTGTTTGTTTCAAATCTTATTTATAAAACAATATTTTATTTTGTTGCGACGGGGTCATTATGCGTCACATTAGTGCAACGAGATCTAAACAAATTTACTATTTTGTGGTTTAGTAAATTAATAAAGGAAATTAAAGATAAACTGAGAATCAGTTCACCTCTTTGGATTGGATATCTTGGATTTTGATGTTGTCTGTCACTTGTTTTTGGAATAGATCATTGCGTGTGCTGTTTGTCAAGTGGTTTTCAAAATTTGTCTTTGCAAACTATGCTTGGTTTGCACCAGTATTAGCGTAGAAAATGACGATGCGAGTCATACCGATTAATATGGTAGCGTAGCACCACGCGTTACTTCTCGACGCTTAGAATAGGCTTTAAGTAGATGGCGGCTCTACGGCCTTTGGGCGCTGGCAGTGCGTGCAATGCAGCATTAGCTTTTTGGGTTGAACCGTGCAAGCCAACTAGAAGTTGTGGCTCTAGCCGAGTACGTGCTTGTGGCACCATTGAGAATATCTTTTATCGTGAAAGCAGTATCTGTCGACAGTTTTTTCTTCATTTCTTTGCAATGTATTCAGTTCAACTTTGACAGGTGATCCCAAACGCCTGCGCAACCCAGGCGCTCATCAACTTGGTTCTCAATTGCGACCATCCGGATGTGCACATTGGCTCGACTCTTGCCGAATTCAAATCGTTTACGTTGTCGTTCGATCCAGCTGTAAGTAGTTCGTTGTTCCACTGGGCACCAGGCTCCGTAATTACTGGATAAATGGTTTTCGTTTCTTTATAGAGTCGCGGACTGTGTCTCACAAACTCAGAAAATATTCGCAACGTACACAACAGCTTTAGCTGTCAGACGCCTTTCGAAATTGAGGAGACGAAGAAAGTCGGTGATGCGTTTCACTTCGTGACATACATGCCCTTTCGTGAAGGCGTCTATGAGTTGGACGGACTGAAGGAATCGCCGATCAGAGTTGGAACCATTCCGAAAGACGGGTCATGGCTAGACGTTGTTCAGCCAGTTCTCAAACGCCGCATTGCGAGGTATGTCATCCCTGAATTCGTTTTTTTCATCCAGTGATCAGCATGGTCTTTCTGCCGCTTCTGTTTAGTTACTACGAAGGCGAAGTATACTTCAGTTTGATGGCAGTCGTTTCAGATCGAAAGTTGAAGCTCCAACGCAAGCTTGCGCTGCTGGACGCGGTAAGCAGGGGAGCTGTTGTCTGATGCACTACTATAAATGATTCGGCAAAACTCTCACCGTTCAAATGGATATTTTGCTGGTGTCTTGTAAATTGTCCAATTTTGGACCAAATCATAGTCACCGTTCTTGATGAATGAATCGATATTTTGCTGGTTGAATGGAATTATCATCAATCTCATTTTTAGCATAGAATAAGTATGTGAAAGGGAAAACGGTTTTAGTAAAATATTACGCCTTCCCTTTTGAAAGCGTTCGAAATACTTATCCTAGCTGTCGCGCGGAAGAAAAATTATTTCTTAGATTGCTAGGAAACGGAAATTGTTCCTCGTTTACTGCTTTAAAGGTGAAGGCTCGTACGCTGAGTATTGAACAGATTTGTGAAAGTTGTGGTGGAGTGAACACGTTAAATAAAAATGTTATCTGTGTACCTACATTAATGGTGTATTGTTCGAAGGGCGTACAGAATGAGTTTGAGTTTGTAAAAGAATTCATGAAAAGTTTGTTGATGGAAGCGGTAGTGTAGATCCATATCGATGGCTTCTCAGCCGGAGGCCGAGGCATCGAGAAAGAGGAAAAAGTGCATCGCGTTTCAGACCATACTTTTGTTGTAAAAGTGAACAAAGTATCGATCCGTATGTTGACGTTTCGCGAAAGTATGTCACAGTTGCGGAATGCCGGCTCCTCAGACATCAGTTATGCCAAACAGGGTATTGTTGCAGCCAATAAAATGACGCGAGTTGCATCGACAGATTGCAGGTGCTAAAATATAGGCACGCTTTAGGGATCTCGAAGACAACTATGACCAGATGACGGTGAAGTAACGCCGTGAAAGGAGATTTGGCAGAGCCGTGCTCTTATGAAATGTAATTTGCTATCGCATCATGCATTTGAACATGTGTGGTGAAAATTAGATACTTCGACGTTTAAAATTTTTGAGAATCTCTGGCTGAGACGAATATGAGACAGTTTTGTTTACCAGCGGTTCAGGTCTTTGGAACCCTTCAATATCCTTACAAAGAACTTCATGCGATAATCGTAACGCTTAAGATCAAGTTACGGACTATTTGATGACGTGGGAGTGATCCTAGGATGCGCAGTTTACCTTTGGTCGTTTTAGCGCACATCATGACCCTTCCGGTTAGCCTGCAAGTTTGCTATGGTACTTTATAAGCCGCTGCTTCATTCAAGGGCGTATTTTTGCAGACTAAATAGGAAGCAAAGCTACGAATATGTGCAGTGACCTGCACGCCAAGAATTAGCGTAACTCGTGCGCGTGTACGCTTTTGAAAAGGAAGAAATGTTGGGGAAGTCGGTCTTCCTTACAGTTTCTTGACCAGGACATTTCTGGCGCCCTTCTTTTCATGAAGTTGATGGAGGGGTACTGATATCCATTTCCATGCCTTCGGCTAGGATTGCCTTATTTCTAAAGGCAGAAGCTCCTAGCATTGCGGGGCGTCTCCATTTTCTTCACACAGAGTGGTCCTCACATTTCAACCTCGGAAGGAAAAAACGCTGGTGACTCGATCACGGCTCAGAGCGCAACTTCTCGGATTTGGGTTAGACGCTGAACCAACTGAACAGTCTTGGTTATGTTTTTAAATTCTAATCGATCTCCGTGAAGTGTGTGAAGTTCATTTAAAACCATTGGTGCTGTGCTTTCAGCGGCATTTTTTGCAGAAAGAGACGCGAACCGTTGATGAATTAGTGGAAGCATCGTTTCTTCGTGAAGCCATTTCAGACGAGGAAGCTAAGATGAGGCGCTATGCGGTAGTGATATGAATCTTACGATCGTATATCATGTTTATCATGTCTTTTCAGCTGGAAAATGTTCGTCGTCGACACAATTACATTCCGCTGATCGTGGAGTTTCTGAAAATCTTGGCTGAACAGGGCAGACTTGTGAAACTTGTAATGGAGGTAAGAGAAAGTATCGTTTTTCTCGTAAATTTGACTGCTGCTTTTAACTAAATGTTTAATCAGTCAAGCGTGAATTGAATTATAGAGTTCCGGAATTTGATTCCATGATGTAGTAAGGTAGCAGATTATGCCCAGTATGAGTTTAAACACCCGTGCTGTAAAATGTTTAAGTTTGTTGCCATTTTATTTTGACGGCGACATCCGCTGTTTTTTGTTCCTTTCGTCGTTGTGACCGCGATGGAAAACAGTGTCGATCACCAAGCAAAGTTTGTTTTTAATTTGCGTATGTCTAACCGCAGATCTATTCTTCCATGTTACTCAAAATCTTTCCGCGTTTTATTTTTGTACTGAGTCTGAGTAATGTGACTGTGAGTCTGTTCCTTTCATCTTCATCTTCTTCATCTTCCATCGCCGCTTCTCCTTTCGGGTCGCGGAGGCAGACGCGTCAGAC